TGTTTTAGCACCAATGCTCTTCAATATATACACAAACGACCAACCTACTCCGATCGAAACCAAGCACTTCCTCTATGCTGACGATCTTGCAATATGTGCTCAAGGAAATAGTTTTGAAGAAGTGGAGGAGAAACTCGAAACTGCCTTAAAAACAATGACAGCGTACTACCTGCAGAATTCTCTGAGACCTAATCCCTCTAAAACCCAAGTCTGCGCTTTCCACCTTCGCACAAAGGAAGCCAAGCGAAAACTCCAAATTGTGTGGAATGGTAATACATTAGAACACACAAACCAACCTATATATCTTGGAGTAACTCTGGACCGGTCCCTCACCTACAGACAACATTGCATAAAAACAAGAGGGAAAGTAACAACTAGGAACAGCATACTCAGAAAGCTAACGGGAAGTAAATGGGGCGCACGTCCTGGCGTTTTAAGAACAACGGCACAGGCACTGTGTTTCTCAACTGCTGAATATGCGTGCCCCGTTTGGAGCAGATCTGCCCACACCAAACAAGTTGATACTGCGCTAAATGAGACATGCAGGATAGTAACGGGGTGCATGAAACCAACGCCACTTTCAAATCTATATAGAGCAGCGGGTTTTGCAGAACCCTCAACACGCAGAGGCGCTGCAGAACACATAGAGAAAATTAAACAGATCGCGGACGATCGGCATGCCCTATACAAAGCTCAAACACCACGAAAGCGACTAAAATCTAGGAAAAGCTTCCTTGGAACAGTGCAGGATGAACCGCCTGAGTATTTTCCACTTCCCCAGGTTCAATGGACCGCCAGACCCTAGACTTTAAAACGTGGAAAACCTTGAATAGGATAAGAACGGGGGTTGCTACAGTAAAATCAAACATGGCAAAATGGGGAAAAATAGACCAAGATGATGTGAACTGTGACTGTGGGGAAACACAGAATATGGAACATTCTTACACAAAAAACTGTCCTCATCGATGTATCCTTGAAGATTTTTGGCTCGCCAACAAAGATGGAACCGACGTAGCCCGATACTGGGCCGAAATTTTATGAATGACATGTCCGGACACGATAAAGTAAGATTAACGTTTTGTATGCGCTTCAAAAATGCGCACTTGCGTACTACTGCCCCATTTGTAGGGGCAAAAGTATGGAAAAGTTCTAAACTGTTATAGTTTCCGAAGATAACGAAACTCCCCTAACTAGTAAGTCAAACTTCTTGAAATTTTTATAGCTGAATACTTGTAATATTGTCCCGATTCTTACGCGAAATTAAAGTTTTTTGTGCATTTTTAGAAAAGTTTTTAATACTTTTCAAACAATTGACTGTTGAAGCTATTTTTGCAATAATTAAGCAATAAATTAACAAAAATAACTTTACAAACTCTTATTTTAAAGGCTATAAATAAAATTGCAATCTTACATTGTTTATGAGTCAAAAATGACGTTTAATTTTTTGCATATTTTGTTGTTACATACTGTTCACTAAATTTATCAAATACAGTTGTTAGATACGAGTATCAAAAAGTGTCTTAAAAAAATCGGTATTTCCCTGGTCTATAAGAAGCTTATATTTAATCATGATGAATGTGTCATATTAAGTTTGTAAACATTCTAGGAAATAAAATAAAACATATAAGATACTATAACAGCAAAGACAATTTTTACTATTAAATTGAACACCTTATAGCTAAGTAGGAAAGTCATCTAATATTAATCTTATTTTTAACCAGGGATTATCGTGTCAACCTATTTGCATATACTAATGAAATAATTTGCTAAAGTTTAGTACAAAGAATTGATTAGGATGGATATTGTTAACAAAAACTAAATTTTAAAGTATCACACAAAAGATGTGAAACTTATATTGCCTTTCAATGTAGAGCAATATTATTGAACGGACCACGTCCGCCTATGTGATAATTTATCTATTAAATTAGTATATACAACGACAAACTGCACATATAATGTAAATATATTACATATACGAGGAAAATTTACAATAAGAGGTACTAAAAGATTGCAAACGTAGCAATTACTATACAAGTAATTCGACTCTCAGACACACCAGTCGTCAATACAATAGTTATAGATAAATTCACATTCAGATGGCAGCGTTACAGAGATAGGCCTGTACTTTCTACATGCCAGAAATAACTACATTGTTGTCAGTTTTTAATCGTACCTACAATCGTACGTTATGGGCCGGCTCCTATAAAAGAATTATAATTTCGGAAATATTTATGAATGTGAAACGGAAAAATACATTTTTTTAATTATATAATTTTTCTGTTGGTATTTTAAAAATAGAAAGTTATATTTCGGAAATCTGGTCTTTTCGGAATTATATCTTCTGTTCAAAATTGTTTACAATTCGTGGAAATGAAATAATTATTTGTATAATCCGTTTTTGATCTTAATGTCCTTTTAATGACACACTTTCTCTACCTGCATTTACAGTTACAGACATTAAAAAATAATTTAGAATTAAAAAAATATACCTATTTATAAATTCAAAATTATTGTCTAATGCCAGCAATTATAAATTCAGGTAAATATTTGAGAGTCATTAAAAGAATTTTCAGTTGATATCAGACGTTTGTGTCGTGTCAGTGTCAAAATGGCCGCGAGTGTAATAAAATTCAAAAACGGTAATTTGTTAAATAGTGAATGCAAAAAAATAGTGTTAAATGTTTTTAACTATTTATCAAACAGTAATAATGATAAAAGTGTATCAACAATAGTGCGGGAAGTTTCTGCTATGACTGGAGTCTCTGAGTGAACGATATTCCGATATAGAAGTGAAAGTAAAAATGGTCCACTCGTAACTCCTATAAGAAAAAAAAGAACCGGTTATTTGAATAGTCGTGAGAATAGATATGATGAAGCAACTCGGTCTAGAATAAGACAAGTAGTGCACGGTTTTTTTATGGACAATATTTCTCCAACCCTTGACGTAGTACTAGAAAAAATTAAGCAAATGGAGCATCTTCCGAATTTTTCCAAGAGTACGTTGAGAAGACTATTGCACGACATGGGTTTTATATATGGCAAACAAGGTAGAAATTCAATATTAATAGAAAAACAAGAAATAGTCGCTTGGAGGCGTCACTATCTCGGGAAATAAAGAAACTGAGGAACGAAGGAGCCAATATCATTTATATGGACGAATCATGGGTTAATACTGGAATAACCAATGGGCAAGTATGGAAAGATACAACAATAAAAAATAGCCGACAGGCTTTCGTAAATGGACTTACCACAGGTTTAAAAACTCCGACCTGAAAAGGACCAAGATTTGTTTTAGTCCATGCAGGAAACAAAGACGGATTTGTTGAAGGTGCTGACATCACTTTTCTTGCCAAAAAAGGTGCTGAAGATTACCATGAAGAGATGGACGGAGATCTATTTGAAAAATGGTTTGAAGAGATGTTAATACCGAATCTCCCAAAAAATAAAAAGAATGTCATTATCTTGGACAATGCATCTTATCACTCTATCCCAAACAATATTGGGTGAAATGTCAAATTAAGGAGTGGCTCTATGAAAAGGACATTTATTTTGAAGAAGATTACTTAAAAAATGAACTTCTGGAAACTGCTAATGTATTTAAAAATATTTATGACAAATACAAAATTGATTGTATTGGTGAAAAATACAGGAAACACAGTGACGAACAATGCCGCGTAGATGTACATATCTTAAGACTTCCGCCTTATCACTGTGAACTGAACCCAATAGAAATGGTGTGGAGTGAAGTGAAACGGTACGTGTCCTCTAAGAATTCAAGTTTCAAACAAAACGACGTTAAAACATTGATTTATGAAGGTTATGATAAAGTACAGAACAATGGACATTGGAAAAATTACGTCAACCATGTTATAAAATTGGAGAATAATTTTTGGACAGTAGACAACATTCAAGATGACATCGAACCTATTAGAATTTCATTAAACGATGACTCTGAAGATGAACTAGATTATGAAAATGAAGATGATTAAAAATTGTTTTTCGGGGGTATTCTTTTCTCAGTAAAGGTAATAAAATATTTAGTTGATCTGGTTGAAATGCAGCACACTTAAATAACTCATTAATCGACATAATTTCAAGTAGTTATATTAGACGTCATTATGCAAAAAATAAAGTTATGAACATTTAATAAATTAGTGCACAGTTGAGGCCCCTAGAACACAAGGGGTGTAAGTGCCAAAAACAAAGTTTTGAAAAATCTTTGTTCAAAGTTCGATATAAATTTAAAAACCTAGGTAGCACTTTTTCAGTTTTCAGCATGTTTTCAACGACATGTAATTTTTGATGGTGTTATTGTTGTTAATGTAGAAAGTTTAAAGCCAAAAGTACGTGCCTGTTGTTAGATATCAGTTGCTAAGTGATAAGCAACTGCACTTACACCCTTGTGTTCTAGGGGCCTCAATTAGGAGTTTTTTGCAATTATCTCAGTCATTTGTTTATGTATTTTAATTTACAAACTAAAAAATTAAAAAACTTTTTAAGATCTGCAACATTTATTTGAAACATTTTTCCCTAAAATGCACGAGGAACAAAATAGGCAAAAAAATGATTTTTTCCAAACTTCATCTTTCTTTAAAAAATAAACAAAGCAAAATTGGCTGTAATTCTTCAAGGAATTATCATCAGTTATCCCTTATCTACCGTTTAGAACATTAAAAAACCTGTAGAATATTTTTCATATTTTTTTCCCTATTAACTGCGGTATTATGTATAAAAGTATTTTAGGAATTATTACCATTTATTTCATTCACGAATTTTCTATTAACAACTTTAGCTTACCTAAACATATCTTAGTTTACCGTGAGTTTGGCCCTGCTTATTTTACAAAAGTAGCAAAACTTACAATGGCAGTAGAATTGGCAATGCTGTTATCCTATATCCGTACACTGCCATCTGAACGTGACTTTATCTATAGTACTCAAGTACTAATGACTAATGACTAGTGACACCCAATAAAACAATTGCTAAAATATACAAGTCCACTATCTTTTCTTGGCAAGAAAAGACTTTTTGTGCGGAGCTGCCGGTGTGTGTGGTCTGGAAGTATGCGGTCGTTTTTTCGCTAACGTACCATCTTGCGAACCATTACAACACGAGCAGAGTTTTCGTACACTTCTTCTCGCCCCTCGGCCACTTGGTGAGTCTACATCTTCGTCGCAATGTAGTTCACATTTCTCACCTTCTTTCAAAAGTTCCGTTTTTCCGATGTGTAATATTTTGTAGCTCTCCTCGACACAATGAACTTTGTTTAACTGAGTACAAACTATCGTATCTTCCGAACTCGTCACAACTTCTCCAGTAAACTCACTCTGTTTCATTCTCTCTCCCTTTTTTCTATTGCTATATTTAAACTTGTACTTATTATGCGTGTTGACTTCTTGGTATATTTCTGGCGATATGGGTGAGTTTAGGGTAACTTCAGACATGGCAGCGCATTTTGGTAGTAAAGTATTATCTTCACAACCAGAGGAACCTGATTCGGCGATATTTCCATTCAGCTCTCTCTCCTGATATTCTAAAGATGTTCCCACAGGCTCATCATACTCGACGTACTCAAATAAGTCTGTTCTTAGCGAACTAGAAGTTTCATCGTCACTAAATAAATTTAATGACTCTTTAACTTCTTCTTTTACATCACCTACTCGCTTAACTACATCGTGAGGAGCCTGATCATAAGACGGAGAATGATTGGAATCAAATAACAAATCAGCTTCTGGAAATAAATCACTAGCACTTGGCTCGTCCACTCCTAAATCTTCACATTCTTCTGAAAGAGATTTCTGAAGCCTCAACTCTCGTTCCATTGCCGCCTTCTTTTGCATTTCGCTGTCCATTTTTTGAGACTCCACTAAAATCTTTTTTGTTTTATTTACGTAGTACGTGGTATTCGTTCTTATATTTTTTTGATCACCAGATGGCTGCAAAAGAAAATTTAATGAAGCACTAGAAAGGTCCAAAAATTACTTAGGTTACTAACTATATCTACACTATATGAAATATTTAGTCGAGGGCAGGAAAAAACTCGAAGACAGAATTAGATTACCAAAAACATTCTAGAAAAATTCTAACACAATGTTCAAAAATGTTGAAAAAGCAGAAATTAAGGTGTAAGGCTAACCAACACATACAAATAAGGTTATATTATGAAAAGTACAGACATTTTATTTAAGTAATCTATTGTCTATTTTTTCTCTAAAAATGTTTCTTCTTTCTTCGTCATGTTAAGAAAATTACCTATTTTATCTTCATAACCTGTTCTCTCCTTGCTTTTCTCACTGCTCTTCCTTTGATCATTCTTTTAATATATCTGTTCCATTTTTTTTTCCTTTTTAGTACAAATTTATTGATGTCCTAGAACTTGTATAAGTGTATATCATGTTTTCTCTTCTTTCTCTATCAAGAAATGTGCTCTGTTAATTCCTTCTAGGGTTTAGGCATGAAATTTAGCTAGTAGCTTGGATTCTAGAGTTATCTGTTTGCGTGAAACAAAGTATGTGTGGCCATTATCTTATAAATGTTTTATTGGTGTATTGTAAGTGCTTTAACCTCTTTCCGTTGTGAATGAATCCATCGCCACATTTGATTTTGAAGGCAATAAAGTCATCTTAATTCGTTTTTCAATGCTATCTTTTACTTTCCATACCAGTGTTAGTGTTTCTAATTTTCTTCTCATCACATAATTCTGGTGTTATTGGACAATATGGATCTCGTTTCGGCACCCATTTTGGAGCCATTATCAAGAGGAGTAGACAGATGGAGACCTCAGTACCGTTTGAAGGTTCTTGTATTTCTACAAAACAAGATACTGGTACGTCACGAGTGAGGGAAGTAGACATATTGAACCCCAAACTTGAACAGAATCATAAACCTCTTGATAGTGGCTCCAAAATGGGATAGAGTTTTAAATTCTCAATGTGGTTTTTCCCGAGAACTTACTAATTTTCATAGCGTGTTCCAAAAAATTTTATACAACTAGAGGAAAACTTAGGAAAACATTATTTATTGAATAAAGTAATATCAACCTTTCTTATTAATGTAACAACAATTACATACATAAGCTTCAACATTAATGTATCCACCATCATCATCATCATTAGCCATTTTGCGTCCACTGCTGAACATAGGCCTCCCGTAAATAATTCCATTGCACCCGATCTTGAGCAACTTGAATCCAGTTAGACTGGATACGCTTTAAATCGTCCGACCACCTTGTTGGAGGACGTCCTCGACTACGATAAGCATCGTGTCTAGGCCTCCACTCTAAATTTTCTTTGCCCATCTTCCATCTCTGACCCTAGCAACATATCCTGCCCAGTTCCATTTCAGGGTTGTAATTCTTTCAACTGCGTCCGTCACACCAGTTTTTCTTCTTACTATCTGACTCGAAACTCTGTCCCTGAGTGATACGCCCAACATTGACCTCTCCATCGCTCTCTGTGCCACTTGTATCTTATTAATTACTTTTCTGGTAAGTGTCAATGTTTCTGCTCCATATGTCAGAACTGGAAGTACAAACTGATCAAAAACTTTTCTCTTCAAGCACATGGGAATAGCTGATTTAAAGACTTCCCTCAGTTTTCCGTAAGCTGCCCATGCCAGTCCTATTCTCCTTTTTAACTCTGTTGTTTGATTGTCTCTTCCCAATTTAATCTCGTGGCCCAGATACTTATAGGAATACACTTGTTCAATTTGCGTGCCATTAGTGGAAATGTTTTTTGACAGTCCCAAGTTGGTCATGTATTGTGTTTTGGAAAAATTAATTTTAAGGCCAACTCGTGCACAAGAGCTCTGAAGGTCTTGAAGAAGTTGGCATGCATGATCTACCTGATCTGCAATAAGGACTATGTCGTCTGCAAACCTCAAGTTGTTCAAAAATTCCCCATTTATATTTAATCCAATATTTTCCCAATTATTTTTTCTCATAGCACTCTGTAATAGGGCGGTGAATAGTTTAGGAGAGATAGTGTCTCCTGGCCTAATACCTTTCTCCAAGGGAAATGTGTCTGTGTCACCATAGTACATTTTTACAGCAGCTGTTGCGCTATCATATATATTTCGAAGAAGAGTTGTGTACCTATGGTCAATACTGCACTCTGTAAGAGCTCTTAACATGGAGCTATGCTGGACTGAGTCAAATGCTTTCTCAAAGTCTACAAATATTAATATCAATGGCTTGTTGTATTCTATAACTTTCTCTATCAAGGATTTTATTACTTGTAGGTGGTCATTTGTTCCAAAGCCACTCCTAAATCCGGCCTGCTCTAGAGGTTGATGAAAATCTAGCTTAGGTCCCAGTCTGTTAGTAATTATTCTCATAAAGAGTTTATATAAATGAGATAATAAGTTGCCAATTTCTGTTACATCTCCTTTTTTATGCAATATTATCATAATGGCATTATTCCATTTTTCTGGCGTATTTCCTTCAAAGAGGCAGGCATTATAAAGGGTTTTTAAAGCCTTTATGACGCATTCGCCTCCTAGTTTTATCATTTCACTTACAATGCCATCTTCTCCAGGTGTTTTGTTGTTCTTCATACCTTTTAATGCTGACTTAATTTCCTCTTCGGTTATATCTGGAAGTTCCTCTGACCCTTGATTTAGTATTGCTGGAATTTCTACTTCGGGAATGTGATCATCTCGACTATATAATGTTCTATAGCACTCTTCGATGATTTTTAGTATCTCTTGTTGTTCATGTATGACATGTCCTTGATTATTTTTTAACTTATAAATATTCCTCGTTCCTGTTTTCAACTTTCGTTTTAGAACTTTTAGGCTTTTGTTTTGTTCTACGGTATCAGTTATTTCCTTAGTGTTAAAGTTCCTTATGTCTTTCCTAATGGCTTTTGAAATGATTTTGTTTAAATTCCTTAGCTCTGCAATGTTCGTTGTATGCTTTTCATTCATTTCCCTTCTTTTTTGCATTAGGTTTCTTGTGTCTTCTGTGAGTTTTTCATTTTTTGTTGAGTGCTTGGCTTGTCACTTCTTCTGTGACTTCTTCAGGGCTTCTGCCAATTTTTCGTTTAACTGTTCAATACTGGTTTCATCTTGCAGGTCTTTCTGTAGATTACTCTCTATTTCTTCCTGGTATGCCCTGGTGTTAGTAATCGCAGTGAATGTAACATTATTAGTCCTTGTTACCATATGTCTTCTTTCCTTCTGTATGTTTAAGACTATCTTCGCCCTAACCATTCTATGGTCACTTCCAGTTGAAAATTGATTTAATACAGTTACGTCTTGAACAGCGTCTTTTTTGTTAGTAAATATAAAATCAATTTCGTTCTTGTTTAAACCATTTGGTGATTGCCAAGTCCACTTTCTTTAAAGTGCGGAAATGTATCCACCATTTCTTTCTAAATAGTTGATTGTTGTTCGATTAAATGCATTATTGGCATTTCCAATTACATTGGATGTAATACCTTGAAGAAACTTTTCCATGGCCTTAAACAATACAAGAGCCCACTATTGAAAAAAATTCAGGCCCTGAAATCCTACCAGAAGAAATAAAGGCAGCTGTTAGACAAATGAAGGATGGAAAGGTACCGGGACTTGATGAAATTCCTACAGAACTGCTGAAGCTATTAGAAGCAGACCAAATAAAAATAATAACTGAAACATATAATAAAATATACAAGGCAGGAAAAATAACAGTAGAGTGGCTCAAATCGGAGTTCGTACCATTGCCCAAAAAACCAGGAGCAAAAGTTTGCGAATACTATAAGATCATAAGCCCAATGAACCATCTGCTGAAGCTATTTTTAAAAGTCATCCTCAAAGGAATTTACCAAAAATGCGAGGAACAAATTGCAGCTAAGAGCATGAGAAATCAAGGCAGTTACAAAGGAAAAAGGGCACCAGGACGCATATCCTGGCTTGCTAACCTGAGAGCATGGTATAGAAAGACCTCAACATAGCTATTCCATATAGCAACCAACAAAGTCATCATAGCCAGGATGGCCAACGTTTGGAACAGACAGGAACTCTAAGAAGAAGTAATACCTTTACGCTCTTCTTTTATTACTCTCTCAAGATATTCAATTCGAAATTGTCTCTTAAAGTAAATCTTCTGTTAACCCGTAAATAAACCCACAAAAGAGGGGTAAAGTCTGGAGTTCTTGGAAGCCAAAAAAGTCCATATACCTCCCTATTACTCTATCATTAAAAGTTTGTAAAATAAAATCTCGAACAATTCTTTTACAATGACATGTTGTCGACATAGGTCATCGAGAGAACTTGATTATTCAAAAATTATGGGTTGTCTGTCAGCATTCATGTGATTTCAAAAAAAGTATAGCCAACCAATTCTGTTTTTATAAATGCAACAAATGCATTTATTTTAAATGAATATTAGTCTCGAGGTTATATGGGTTATATATTGTAATAGACGACTAACATTACTCCACCATCGAGAAGTTTGACAACATAATCCAATCATCCTTGAATGTAAGCATAAAATTGGAACCTTCGTTCGACACTGCCTTTTCAAAATATTTGTAAAATTCTTGCGACTGTAATTTTACTCACATTCAATAAATTTAATCTTTTTCAAAGGGAATTTGTTCAATTACTTAGTGGTTCCTACAGGCGAGTTGCTTGTACCGGGTGGTCCAATAAGCCGACCTCTCGGCTATATATCAGAAACTATTCATGTTATAACTTTAGGAAAAAAAATTCCTTAGTAGAAGTGGCCAAGAGAAATCGCTGGAAATAACTTTCAAGATTCTGGATTAACCGCTAGGGGCGTAACCTGCGAAGAAAATTTTGAAAACCAGTTTTTTGGGAAATATGTCCAATTATACCAAGTGTTAAATAAGTAAACTAGAAAGGAGCATAAATTCTGCACAAAGTTGTTCAAGTACTTTTTTTTTATTTTTTCAAATAAAGGGTGGGGGAGAGTGGGAAAGTATTTGTGGATAAATACTTATAACTTTGGTTTGGTCCAACCGATTTGAATGAAATTAGTGTCATTAGAAAGAGTGTGGATGAATTAATTCACATCTACTATAAAATACTTGCATTTAGTTTTCATAGTCGTAGGTAGAGGGGACTTTCAAATAAAAAAAAATTAAAATTTGTTTTTCTTAAAAATTTTTAATGGAAACACCTATTTATTGTAAATTATAATGAAACCGGAATAAATTCGTAACAAAATGGAGCAAACCGCATGTTAATGGCTTTTGTTGAACTCGAGATATGAATAAAAACTCATAAACATAAGTAAGCCTAGTATTGACACACCCTGTATTATAAATTACATTAAAAAATAAGTCAGTAGGTATTTTCAAATTTTTTTATAGCAGAAGAATATTAATGTTGATACCTATTTTGTAAAAAATAGTTTTTTCGAAACTAAGTAGGCTACGACAATGAATTTGACGGGGAGTTCATATTGTTTATTTATTGACAGCAGTCAAAACATTGTTAAGAAGTGCTATATTATAATTCGAATTAAAGATTGCATTTTCTTCCATAGATATTAATATTGGTAATATTAGTAATTAATTATCAGTACAAATATTTCGTGATGAGTATATCAAATTGTATGATATAATTGGAGTTTATTTCGAATGTCACCAAAATGCCGCTATTGAATCACGTATATATTTTGTAAGATATCGTTACAGGAGACATTATGGCAAAGAAGTATTTGAAAAAAAGGCAAACAGATTAAGAGAAACTGGTAGTTTTTCTTTCTCGTCCATGTTTTAAACAACGTAGTAGAGTTATGACCGAAGATCAAATCAATTTTCTTGCTTTCAACAGAATCCACATATAAGTAGTCCGAAATCTCTACTTCTTTGCCACAATATCTCCTGCCAGGATATCTTACAGAATATATACGTGAGGCAATAGCGCCATTTTGGTGATATTCGAAATAAACTCCAATCATATCATACAATTTGATATACTCATCACGAATTATTAGTACTGATAATTAATTACTAATATTACCAATATTAATATCTATTGAAAAAAATGCAATTTTTAATTCGAATTATAATACATATAACACTTCTTAACAATATTTTGACTGCTGTCAATAAATAAACAATATGAACTCCCTGTCAAATTCATTGTCGTAGCCTACTTAGTTTCGAAAAAACAATTTTTAATCATATGAAATAACAATGGTCAAAATAGGTATCACCATTAAGAGTTTCCTGCTATAAAAAATTTTGAAAGTACCTACTGACTTATTTTTTAATTTATTTTATAATACAGGGTGTGTCAATACTATACTTACTTATGTTTATGCGTTTTTATTCATATCTCGAGTTCGATAAAAGCTATTCACATACGGTTTGCGCTGTATTGTTACGAATTTAATCCAGTTCCATTATAATTTACAATAAATAGGTGTTTCCATTAAAAATTTTGAAGAAAAACAAATTTTAATTTTTTCTATTCGAAAGTACCCTCTACCTACGACAATTAAAACTAAATGCAATTATTTTATAGTAGATGTAAATTAATTCATCCATACTCTTTCTAATGACACTAATTTTGTTAAAATCGGTTGATCCAAACCAAAGTTATAGGTATTTATCCACAAATACTTTCCCACTCTCCCCCGCCCTTTATTTGAAAAAATAAAAAAAAGTACTTGAACAACTTTGTGCAGAATTTATGCCTCTTTCTAGTTTACTTATTTAACACTTGGTATAATTGGACATATTTCCCAAAAAACTGGTTTTCAAAATTTTCTTCGCAGGTTACGCCCCCTAGCGGTTAATCCAGAATCTTGAAAGTTATTTCCAGCGATTTCTCTTGGCCACTTTTACTAAGGATTTTTTTATCCTAAAGTTATAACATGAATAGTTTCTGATATATAGCCGAGAGATCGGCTTATTGGACCACCCGGTACAATTTGCGACAAAAATATTGTTTTTTCTTTTGCATGTGTTGGAAGAGCTCTTATTGTGATTGATTTGAGTTTTTAAATTATCAACATGAACTTTCAATCAAGATTAGAAGGAAAATTCTTGCCTGAAGAAACGAGGGTGGTAAGAGTAAATGTAATTGATTTTATACAGCTAGAAGCGGTACAAAATCAGTCTGTTGAAAATTTTAAGTACATAGGCGTGCTGCTTTAGCAACAGGAGTAAGTTTAAATACTATAAAACGGATCTTTCGTATACGTATTATATTTTATTATGGATTTCTGGGCCAAGCAGAGCATTCTGTACATAATAATTTTTTGTGACATGAGTGATGTCATGGCATATCAAATATGAGTGATGACTGTTTAGATAGGAAGAGCCTGACAACTATCATAATCTCTTTAAAAGGTGTTAAAAAGAGATGTATCTTAAATCAGAAATTTGTCTAATGATGAGAATATTCATTAATTGATGCTTTTACCGAAATTATGATGTATGATCCATATTCTAAACCAATATTTAGAATCGATTAAAATCCATACTTCTAATGTATGTAAAATTAAACTTACCTTTTGGCCATTATGAAGAAAATCTCCCTTAGTAACAGGTAGTTCGGATGTGTGCGGCCTTGCAGCCTCCGAAACTTTCCTATACCTTGGAGTGGTATGTGACAGCATCGGCCCATTTGAAGAGCATGCTGTTACTAATACTGATTGCATTCGTTCTACGGTTCTTGCTTCGGCTGTAAATACATAAAATCCTTTAAATGAAAGAAAATACAATTGTCAAGAATGAAGTAGAAAACAAAATTAGGTATCTTCAATATTTGAATCCCGCCTGTACTTACATATGGAGCTCAAACCTGGAGATTCACTCAAATAAACATGGAGAAGATCAGAAAAACTCTATGGAGCTATGGAACAACAAATGTTGGGTATCTTACTCAAAGGCCATAAAACCAATGAAGACATTCGTAATAGAACAAAAGTCAGAGATGCTGTCGAACAGGCAGCTAAATTGAAATGGAAATGGGCTGGACATAACTAACGTCATAAGTATGGCCGATGGAATAAAGAAATCGGGAATTGCCGGCCATACGAAACCAAAAGACCACGAGAAAGACGGCAAATACGCTGGAGCGACAATATTAAAAGAACTGCAGGACCAATGTGGAAACGTCTTACAAACAACAGAGATTAGGCGAGGCCTATATTCGACAATCCGAAAATCGTCAGCACAATCATTATTCCCAAACCAGGGAAACCTCGAACAATCACGGAATTTTATAGACCTATTTTTTTTAATCGCCCTAGGTAAAATCTACGAGATGATCCTTAATAAAAGATTTCTTAACTTCCCAGAAAAATTCCATATCATCCTAAATTTTCAATTTAGATTCAAAGCTTGACACTCTACTCACAATCAATGCATTGATTGAAGCAGCAACCTTCATATCTCAAGCCTTCAACGAATATCATAGATTCGCAATCGGCATTTTCCTGGATGCACAGAATGCATTCAACCAGATCTGACACTAAGACCTGATCGAAAAACTTCACCAAGTTGAGTTGTCTACTCAGTTTCTACTAAAAATCATTAATTCTTCCACACCCTTCACTCCGCAGCTGGGGTCGCGCAAGGATCAATTTTAGTTTTGTTATTATATACAGTCTACAACAGTGACCTTCACTTACCTTTTAACAGATCCGACCCCGTCCTACCATATACTGACGACACTGCACTATTCTCTGCAGGTAGCGCCTATCGCACAGTAAAGACGGGTTGACACGATTCAAGAATGCTTGGATTCCAATTTGACCAAGTGGACTTGTACAAGTGTACTTGTACCAAGTTGGTTGCCACGGTTACATGACTTGGATGTCAAATAACCATTGTAAAGATAGCTGAAGTGATTGTGGTAGGTGTTCTGATATGCTGATAAATGAGCTTGAAATCCAGAAAAATGGAATAAAACAGAAAAAATGTTGCACTTCTAGCATCCTTATTTTTACATTCCATCATCCGTACATTCCATAATGCTTCCTCAGTTTCGTATAACTCCATGAATCTAACACTCTCCCTTTCAGACCATTTTCTTTTTGTGTTTACTTCTTTTTTTGGATTTTTTCACACCGACGCAATTTCAATTTTACAATACCACACTACTTGGATCCAAGGAAGTTGGCTTTGTTCTACTTAACTTGGATATAACCTGTAGACACAAGTGTCAGGCGACACGATAAAAGTCGCTACCAAGTGTTCGCGCGCAACGTCCAAGAAAACGTTAACCAAGTACACTTGGATCGTGTCAACCCGCCTTAAGAGATGGATTTGTATTCGACAAAGCACAAGATCAACTTGGAAAAATTGTCAAATGATACAAGAAATAAAGAGTTACGCTTAACTCTGCTAATATTCTGTAGCCTAGACATTCATCTGCGACCTACTTCTCTCCTACCCTTAATCATTCCTTGAATAATACGTTAAGGGATGGCGTATTTTTTCCTCTCACGGTATGGCCCAGGTATCAAATTTTTCGTAACTTCATCAATTTAAGAAACTGTCTCTCAGTATTTGCCATTCTTTAAACTTCTTTGTTTCTCAACCTATCTGTCCATGGTACGCGGAACATTGTTCCACATTTCGAAGACCTGGAGGGTATTTTTATTGTCCATTTCTCCATGCCGTAAAACAATATAGACCAGACAGATCAGATCCGACAAATATTGCGGTTACATAATAGCGGCTTAAATTTAATAAAATCTTTCATAGAAAGTCTGATGGGAAAGTAATCAGATCCATAGGTATTTGGAAGAATAGTCCAGTCAAAGAACGAGGATAGGTTAGAAGATATAATCGCAAGATCTACAACCAATGTCATATGACCTGAAGAAGTAGCTCTAGTAACCGATTAGTCATTTACAACCAAATTTTATAGAGAGAGGAGGGCATTCAAATTTGTTAATTTGCGAGTAATCTTGCACTTTTAGTGGACGGTAAACATTCAAGATTGTATTTGGTCAATACTAATATTTACACAACAAATTATTAAAACTTCGTCTAAAAGAAAGTTTTTCAGCTTTGAAGAAAAAATATCGGTGATCTAAGCATCTGAAAAAAATAATTATAGTGTTCGAGTCTTGGCCAAAAAGTTTCAAATAAGAAAAACTCTGCCTCTGTGCCTCTGCAAAAATGGTCTTCACATAGAGATTGAAGAGAATAGGAGACAAAATACACCCCTGTTGCACCCCTCTTAAAATTTCAAATTCTTCTGTGTTCGTTGATCTGTTCAGTCTCACTCGTGCTTTTTGATTCTAATAGAGATTCTGGATAACTCTTATATCTTTCTCGTCAATGTTAGCATTTTGTAGCATTTTCATCATTGCGACATGTTTTACAGTGTCGAACGCTTTTTCATAATCGAGGAATGTTATGACTATATCCTTTCGTTGATTCATGCAGTTTAGTACAAGCGTATTCAAGCAGAAAGCTGCTTTACGTGTACCTAGTCCGCTTTTGAACCAAATTGTGTCTCACCGCTTAGATCTTCCATCTTTCTGAACATTCTTGTGTGAAGGATGCGAAGAAACAGCTTAAGCAAATGGCTCATTAAACTTATCAGTCTGCGGTCTTTGCATTTTGTCGCTCTTTGTGATTTAGGAATTATTATAAACGTAGAATAAAGCCAATTCGTTGGAATGTAGCCGGTGTTATATATGGCATTGAAAATTGTAACCAGCATGTCGATGTTATCATATGCAATTTCCTTGTATGTTTCTCAAATTCTCGTTGATGTGCTTACTGTATGTAGATCTAAGCTCTTCATCTCTCATTAATTCTCTAGTATTTATGTATTTTTGATTAGATGGCTTTTTAACCTCTGCCAACACTGCACTCTGCTTACATTCGCGATTAGGGGGTTGTGGTCAGATGAAATGTCCGCACCACGGTAAGCGGCCACTCTTTTTATATAGTTGTGGAATCTTTTGTTTATCAAGATGTAATCAATATGATTGCGTATCATATGACCTGGACGATCTCCTGGTGCTTGCCATGTATACAATCTTCTTGGTGGGAGTTGATACCACGTATTGGATATGACGAAATCGTGGTCAGTACAAAATTCAATTAGTAACTCTCCTCGCTCATTTTTGTTACCCAGACCGAAATCACTGACTGCATTACCACATCTACCCCTACCGACTTTGGCATTAAAATCCCCCATTGTGATGTTGATATCGTTTTTCTTTGTGACCTTTACTGCTTCCTTTATGTCTTTATAGAAATCTAAGACTTCAGCTTCAGGTTTATCAGATGTGGGTGCGTAAACTTGGATTAGATTTGTATTAATACTTCTTATACTTATATTAATACTTCGGCTAACTTCACTATAATTACTCTGTTTGAAACGAGTATGTAATCTATAACAGACATCGCAATTGTATTATCAAGCACAATTGCTACTACATGCCTGTGGTAATTATCTGTGGCGTTGCTACCGGAATAGTACACTGTAAAGTTGTCTTTGTGAGAAATACCTGAGCCAGACCACCTCAATTCACTTACACCCATTGTTTTCACTTCTAGGAGCCGCATTTCTTTGAGAAGGTTATGTAATTTTCCTGGGATGCGCAATCTATTGACGTTCCATGTCGCTACTTTATGAATACCATCTTGAAGTCGAACCCGGAAGATTTTTAGCACCCTCGGACCATCTAATATGGAAAATTTTAGAGCTAACAAACATCCCGCAAAAATTAATTTCTATTATAAAGTCACTATACTGATGCGAAATGCAGCGTGACACACAATGGGATCAACAGTGACAAATTCGACGTACTTACTGGAGTTAGACAGGGATGCGTGCTTTCTCCGTTTCTTTTTAAAATAGCTATAGACTATGTTCTCTCCAAACCAGACTCCGACACAAGAGGGATACAATGGACGTTAACCACATGCCTAAGCGATCTAGAATACGCGGACGATATCTGCCTATTAGATCAAAGGTTCCAAGATCTAGCTTACCAATTGGAAACACTTTCCACTGAAGTTAATAAAATAGATTTGAAAATCAATATTAGTAAAACCAAGTCCATGAGAATAAATGCAAAGAACAACACGCTATTTACTATCGACAATATGTAGATTGAAAATGTGGAAAACTTTACGTATCTTGGAAGTGTCATAACAGAAAACGGAACTGTTTGGAGATCTGGCGAGTATACTATAAGGACAAAGATCCGAATATTCCGATCAAATGTCATGTCTGTTCTACTCTACGGATGTGATACCTGGAAAGTGACAAACACCCTCACAGACAAACTGCAGGTCTTTGTTAACAAATGTCTACGAAGAATTCTGGCCTAAACACCATCAGAAACGAAGATCTGCTACACCTGACCGAACAAAAGAGGGTACAAAGTAAAATTAAGTCCAGAAAGTGCGGTTGGATCGGTCATACACTCCGAAAAAATAGTTCCACTATCGCAAAGACTGCCCTAGAGTGGAATCCCCAAGGGAAAAGAAAAAGAGGTCACCCAGTACAAACTTGGAAAAGATCCATTATGGACGAGATAAGAGGCCAAGGAAAGTCTTTTAATGAGGTGAAGGCCTAGGCGCAAAATAGAAATCGATGGCGTGTTTTCACTGAAGCTCTATGCTCCACTTAGGAGTTCAAGAACCTTATTATATATATATATATATATATATATATATATATATATATATATATATATATATATACATAGACGTCAAAGATGTCAAAGATGTCAAAGACGTCAAAAATGCGGAAACAGAAAAGAAAAGATTATACCATAAGTGGTTGAATACAAAAGATGACGCAGACAAAGACCGATACAATGAAATGAAGAAGAAAACTGGAAAGATAATTATGACCTCCAAAAATGAGACATTGGACAGAAGGTGCAGATAGAATCTTATATTGGAGGACGACAATGCACTGAGGCGTGGAAGTTTATAAACTCTGTTAAGAAGCCGACTAACGAGAAAGTGAATCTAAATCCCATAAATCCCAAGGATTGGACACATTATTACAAACATCTATTAAATGAGAACAGAGACGAATTTAAAGAAGATATGAATCCATCAAGAATCGAAATTCTGGGAGAGCATATTACCATAGATATCAACATAGTTCAAAAAGGTATAGCAGGGATGAAGAATGGGAAAGCAAGTGGACCAGAGGGAGTATCTACGGAATTAATAAAGAATGGCTCAGAGAAATTACACAGAATGATCACGGTGATATTTAACGAATATATTAATGGACATTCAACACCAGATGAATGGAAAACAGCATATATGACCCCAATATATAAAAAAGGTGACAGGAGAAATTGTAAAAACTATAGAGGGATATCGGTCACAAGTTCAATGAGTCGACTATACGGTCGAATATTACGGGACCTGATAGAGGAAGATTATCAATCGTCTGAAGACGAAGAACAAGGAGGTTAGAGCAGGTGGTTCACGTACAGATCTTCTGTCTTAAACAAATTAAAGAAAAGAACGTTGTGACAAATAGAGAGTTACATATGACTTTTGTAGATCTAGAGAAGGCATACGACACAGTCCCGCTAAATAAACTATGGGAAGTCCTGGGCACATCAAACATACATCAAACATTGGTTAGTGCTCTCAAAGATCTATATTATGGTTCAAACTCCCAAATGAAAGACAAGGATGTTGTATCTCTCCGACTCTATTTAAGATTTATATCTCTGCAGCTCTGAAACAATGGAAAAGGAAAGTCAAAGGAATGGGTATACAATTGAACGATCAGGATTACATATATACTTTACAGTTTGCAGATGATCAGGTGGTGATCTCAAATGACAAAGACGACATGGAATACATGCTTAGAAAACTAATTGAAGAATACCAGAAATGGGGATTAAATATCAATTTAGAAAAGGCAAAATACCTCTCAATTGGAGCTGAAGCAGAACAACTCGATATCGATGACAATCAAAAAATAAATCCATGTGACTAATATGTGTCGACCTTAGTGGAAAAGACGAACGAGAAATAGAACACCGAATTGTACTAGCACGAAGAGCTATATCATGTTTGAACGGAGTTCTGTGGAGTAAAGAAATATCAAAGAAAAGAAAATGGAACATCTATGAGACAATGGTTAAAACTAGCCTACTTTATGGAGCTGAGACATGGAGAATAACCGAGAAATATAAGAAAAAGGTCGAAGCCACGGAAATGGATGTAATCAGAAGATCGATGAGAATATCAAGAGCCGACAGAATACGGAATGAAGTGATAAAAACAACAAATGGGTATAGAGGGCACTATAGTTGAGGATATTGAGAGAAAACAGCTCATATGGTATGGGCATGTGAGCTGAATGGGGGACGAAAGATTGCCTAAAAAAACGATGATGTGGCAACCCCCAGAGAAGAGGAAACGAGGAAGACCACCACAGAGCTGGAACCTGGGAGTTAGGAAAGCAATTAGCGCTCGAAATGTTAATATTTTTCAATTTCATTTTAACAATCAATTAAATAATACTTACCCTTAATACTGGTTGCTGGAGTAGCATTCCCACTCGGATTAGAAACGCTTCCTTCATTCTTGACCGTACTAGAAGTCGTTGCTATAACTGAAGTCTCGACAGAATTTATCACCGTTTTCTGATACGTATGAAATATTTTTTCATTAGAACTATCAGACTGCGAGGCAGAGTCTTCTAGCTTAATATCAACACTATCACTTGAAACACTTGTGCTACTATCAGGTTGGGGAATTTCACTTCTTTCTTTAATATCTTCCTTTCGTTGGGAGATCGTCAGAAGTAATTCATTACCCTCCCGGTCATCCCCGATTTTCTTTAACGTTAGGGGCTGCCCAAACGACACAGCTGTAGCAACTGAGTTGGAAGGTAATATCATAGGTTGCTGGCTAACACCAGCTAAAGTCTGAGAGGTAATACCAGAAATTGGTTGGATCGTTGAATATTTTACTGCGGGTATTGCTGTCTTTCTTGTCTGGTTTGTAAAACTTTGAAATAGAAGCATGTTTTGGCCCGATCTTGCTGGTACCGTAGCCAAAATTTTACTGCTTCCTGATACTACTGCTATCTGTTGTCCACCTTTACAAATAAAATTAGTAATATTAGACTAGTATACCATACGAAATAACTATATACATACAAGAATATACATCCAATATTAACTACGATGTTTTCTAATATCGATTGCCACGGATAAGGCAAAACAGTCGCTCCACTATATACACTACCTCTACACTAAATTACAAAAGATTCTTATAAAAACCTCTATTTCGTATTAAAATAGTTTATATACAATAATACTCTTTAACCTTTTCGTGATTGTGCGGGGTATTTTAGGTACCCAGATACGCTTTTGTTATTATGTATAACTTTTTAAAATATTTTTATTTTTTTTTGTTGCTCCAGGTAATCTTAGAAAATACATTACTAAATCCTTTTTATAAAAATTATTAGATTTAATTTAAATTTTCTACTAAAGTTGAAATTAATTACTTGGGGTACCTCCGTTACCCCGCACGGCCTGCTAGGTATTGAAATCAATACGTATATTCCTGACGTCGGCCAGCTAAATACATAAACAATAGCGAGCTTAGTGATAGTGAATCAGACTGTATAACCTGTACTATTCACATTTGTTACTGATGGCACTCTTAGGTTATATTTTTACATTTAGTCTGGACACATCGAGTGGGGCATTATCAGACAAACGCAATGGAAAATAGAGACACCATTTTTGAAATAACGTAATTAAAAGTTATATATATTTAGCTATTTAGTTATATATTATATTTATTATTAGTTATTTAAAAATGGTTTCTCTTTGTTGCGGATTGTCTGAAGATGGTAAGAAATAGGAAGAAAGAAAAAACAAAGGAAATTATGAAATATGAAAAAATGTGTAGCGGACATCCTAGACGGTGAATACATACGAAATCCTATCCCATATCCTCCCATAGGGAACAATGGGATTGTTGCATTGCATTTTTGAGGGATGTTAAAGCTATGCAATATTTGATATAACTTGTGTCTCTTTGAAATCTATGAATATGTTGGGAATATGTCAATGTAGCATTCCCACGATTTTTCTAGAATTTATTTAACCGTGAATAGCTGGTCAGTTGTAGATCTTGCCGAAATCTTGTTTAATACACCCCAAGAACACTTTCATTTTTGTAATCTGTTGAGCATGTAACTAAAAACTTTGTACGCAGTGCGCAAGAGGTTTATACCACGATAATTTCTCTTATTTCAGTTTATCCCCTTTTTTATAGATTGGGCACATAATCCCGGACTTGTAGTCGGCAAGGGATCTTTTCATCCATGCAATTTGTTCTACTAAATGTTCGCCACCTAATTTATATAGTTCAGAGGACACGTTGTCAATACCTGGAGCATTGTTATTCCTAGGTCCTCCTAATGCTTGTTTTACCTCTTCCATGGTTATCCGTTCTGTATTTTCGGTGTTTCCCTCAATGTATTACATGTCTATACACACTTGTGCAGTATTGATCATAGGTATACAACTCTTCTGCGGTATATACAGTGACGAGTGCCTTACCACCCGGCTTTTTAACGTAAGAGATAGAGAACACAGTTACCTTGTGAAATAAAAAGAGATGAAACTCGTAGAGGTCTGAAATAATCGATAGAAACCTATAATTTCCATTACATTACATTACCACTATCGATTGTCTCACACCTTTAGACGTTAGCTTCGAGCCAAATCACCTCGGTCATAATTATTATGTTTGACGTCGTATGTGTGACGTATTTCCATTTTTTAATTTCGCATAAAGTAAAAACTGATTGACCACAATAAAGCAAAAATGTGAATAAAATAATTTAATTAATAGTGATTATTTAACGTAAAGTTTTAATTATTAACCAAGAATAATTTCTACTATGATTTGAGGAGTTTCATACACTCTTGCCACCGAATAATTATCAATCCTTCGTGGATTAGTGGTAAGAATTCGACACTGCGATGCAGACGATTAGAGTTCAAAACCCGAGTCTTTTCTTTTTTTTTTAATAATTTGAAAATATGCAGAGATCGTTTTGCTTTTGAACATTTATGTCAGTCGTTACTAGTAGTAGATGTGTTTAAAGTTAAACATAAATTTCTTATTGAAAAAAGTGTCATACTTTCGAAAATAAAGTAAAAATTCTTCAAAATTAAAAGAACGTTTAAAGAATGTTTAAATAAGTAAAAATTCTACAAAAATAAAAAAAATATTGTAAATAAACGTATTTACAATTGTCAATTGCTTTGAAAATCATTATCTGTGCAGAGGAATTGATATTAACACTGAGAATTTAGTGATTGATTTGACATAAACAGTCTTCACCGGATTATTTTGCATTCACAACTAAAGACAGTAAAACTGGAATTGAATTTGAATTATTCTGCATTTCCGTTTTATACCATTGGAATAAGAATACATTGTAAATAATGAGTTTTTCGAAAACTTGTTACCTAATATGTATCATATTTTTTATTATTTTTTGATTATTAAAACAAAAATTTTATCCTTGGTGTGAAAATTGAACCCTAATCTTCTTGTCATTAGACCACGTCTCCAAGTATTACACCAATTCTGCATACATTAAATATTTTCGGACAGAACATACCTACCTTTATTTTAGTCAAATATTCCAGTTGAGTTATTTTTATTAAATAAACTTAAAGATTTATAATTTAAAATCGCTACTAACTAATGTTTTTTACTATAATATATCTTAATTTATTCTATCGATAGTGGTAATGTAAATTATAGGTTTCTATCGATTATTTCCCACCTCTACGAGTTTCGTCTCTTTTTATTTCACAAGGTAACTGTGTTTTCTATCTCTTACGTTAAAAAGCCGGGTGGTAAGTCACTCATCACTGTATATAAAAGTGAGAATGTACTATGGCGACACCAATACATTTCCCTTGGAGAAAGGTATTAGACCATGAGACACCATATCTCCTAAACTATTCAACGCTTTATTACAGAGTATTGTGAGAAACAATAATTGAGCAAATATCGAAGTCAACATAAATGGGATTATCAGATACTCCCATATGCTTAAAAAGAAACGTCTTTGATCAATGTGTACTCCCAGTTCTAAAGTGTGAAGCAGAAACATTGACGCTTACCAGAACAATAATAAATACGACATAACTGGCACAGACACCAATGGAGAGATCAATGTTGAATATATCCCTGAGACACAGTTCCAAATCAAATAGGAGAAAAACGGTGTTACGGACGCCGTTAAAAGAATTACAACGCTGAAATGGAACTGGGCAGGACATTGCCAGAGTCAGACGTGAACCAAGAAAATTTTAGAATGGAGACCTAGACACGATGCTTATAGTAATAGATTACAAGGTGGTCGGACGACATCAAACGCATTCAGCACAAATGAATTCAAGGTGCTCAAGTATCGGATGCAATGGAATTATTTATCGGGGCCTATGTTCAGCAGTGGACTCAAAACGTCTAATTATAATGATATTTTCAACTATGAAGGCTACTTCTACTTCTCATTCTTTGTTTCGTCTATAAGTATTGTATGCATCTTTTTAAACCTCGCGCTAGGGCTAGCGAAATCTAGGTACTATTTGTTTCTTGAAAAGTTCAGGTACTGTAGCGGGTATGTTGAGTCTGCAGCGAAATGTCTCATTCAAATGTCTTCACCAACATTTACGCCCCTGTCTTGATTAATTAGTATTTAATCCCTAAGGTAGATGAAGCTTGTGCACAATTATAAAATTAGGTTCACCCCGTAATTTGAAGTTATTTTGGAACAATAATTTTAATTTTGTTAGTATAGTTTTTTTTTGTCTTCTAAAGCTCTGGAGAGATTAGGAAATGCCGAAAGGTCTTAATCTCGATGAAAGAAAAATCCGAATCTGCACCTCCACGCGGTAGAGGACGGGCAATATCAATTTTGATGGCTAACGCAGATAGGGACCGAGTGATTGCCGGTATAAGCAGTCCCCCACTTACCGACCAACGGCTCCGGGCGGACGAGTTGGTAGGTGGTAGGGCACTCTTTTGTCCTGGGGCTGAGAAACCGGCCCCAAAGGCGGAAGAATCAATGGTTTGGTCAACGGCATAAGAATATAGAAGGCAACGAGAAACCACTATATTAAAGATCCCTATGGATATCTCTAGTACAATCATAATGGCTGTACAACTCAATAAAAATTCGCATACTGATCATGGACATCGGAGACCAAGATCCGGCAAGAGAGGTCATTCCCATGACCACAGGGCCTCTCAGGTCGTTAATATGCAAAATCCCTGTGAAATACCCAATAAAACACCTTTAAGAAAAGTCCACACGAATTGTCTAAAGAGGATATCCACTTGGAACGTTAGGACGATGGCTCAATCAGGAAAAATCCAATGCGCAATTAAAGAAATGGAACGCATGAAAATAGAAATAATGGGCATAAGTGAAATGAGGTGGCCTGACTCAAGTTATTGTGATATAGAAGACTACAGAGTATACTATTCAGGATCAGAAAATGGTAAATATGAGAATGGGGTTGGAATTATCACGCATAAAAGTATAGCCAAACAAGTCAACAACTTCATACCAGTGAACGATAGAATCCTCCTGTTACAAATAAATACGTCACCGGTGAACACAAACATCATACAAGTCTATGCACCCACAACAGACCATAGTGATGAAGAAATATCAGAATTCTACAAACAAATAAGCAACCTTATAAGAGATATACCGAGACACGAACTCCTTATAATCATGGGAGATTTCAATGCAAAAATAGGTAACGGAAAAGAAGGGCAACATATTGGTCCACATGGATTAGGAGAGAGAAATCAACTCGGAGAAACAATGAGTATCTTTGCAGCTGAGCATGACTTAATCGTGCTAAACACATTTTACAAACTACCGCCTAGACGCCTGTATACGTGGAAATCACCTAGAGACAACGGAGAAGACGTTATTATTAGAAATCAAATAGACTATATGCTTGTTAACAAAAGATATCGAAATAGTTTCAACAGTGTTAAAACCTACCCAGGCGCTGATATTCAATCTGACCACAATCCTTT